ACAAAAGCGTCCGCAGAACGTTTGGTGACGTCATAGCAAACAAAAACAAATTTCACAGAGCCAACAGATATAATTTGAAATAAATAAAAGTAATAGCCTTCTGGAGAAAAATTTCATCTTTAACCACTAAAAATGTCAAAGCAATTGGTCAAGTAATCAAAGAGAAATGCGACTATTTAGATTTTCCACTAGGTGTGCAAAAGTGTCAAAGAACAACATAGCAACAAAACGATCGTTATGTCCACTAAACGTGTCCAACAACAACATAATATTGAAACGATCCATAGGTTCACTGCGTGTCCAATAAATATTTTTTCATTTTTGTATTGTGTGTCATTTTTCAGTGTTTTCTCAAATTTACGCGTGGTAAACCCCGATTTCCAATTGTAAATGGATGTGGATATTTGAAGGGATAGATGGTAGTTTTAACTAACAATTTCAAAAATTTAGAAAAGGGTTATTAATTACGAATTACAAATTTCTCCTTATTAAAAATTAGGTCAATTAAAGCCATTTTTTATTTTGAAGTAGATTGTTGTAGTGTTAGTTAGTAATCAAGCCCGAAAAACAGAGGTCTATTGTTAGGAGAGTCTATTGCTTAATTCATATAAATTTTGTCATACTCCCATAATATAGGGCATTCAATAGACCTTATTCATTAAAAACCCATCCTACGCGCAAAAAAAAGTGATGTAAAAAAAATTTTTTTTAACCTTAGCTCTTATGGGGAATGTGATCACCAGAGCAGAAATTCGCATTTTTTGTAATTTTCTAGATATCTTTCATTGTATACGTGAGCAGTTTTGAGGATAGAATATTTTTTTACATCTTTTTTGATATTTTTATCATGATAAACATGGTCAGGATTTTTGATAATCGTTCATTAAAATTTCAATGAGCGCGGTGTTTCCGATGACGTCATTCTCACTAGACCATGAGATTCTGCCAACGCGCCGTGTTCTGTGGGATATGTGCTGCAAATGCGGCGCTAATGTCGCTTTGGGTCCGGTACTGGGAGCATTTAACATTGACAATCTATAACCCATACCATTTCTATCACGTTTGTTTACTGGTTTTACGCATTTATACCTGTACAGCTATCAATCATTTACTGAAGGCATGATGACGTGTTATTTAAACTACCGGTACTGTACCAAGGCTGCAAGAGGTGAAAACTAAATTATTTAGTCTAAATAGGCTACTGAAATAGGCATACGAAGAAAAATGTTGGCCATCCTGCCAATAGGCAGCATAAGTTGTACGGTACCGGTATACAAAAAAGATGAATATCTCCAACCTATAATAGTACAATACCGGTCTCCTAACTAGGTTAAAAAACATGACTGAATACGAGAGGGAGATTTATTTTGTCAACCAGAATACAAGCTTTGAATCAATAAAAATTATATACAAAATACACAGTTATTCGGTATAGACTGGGGGAGCGATAAGACCATCACAGTCAGCTCCCCCCTGCCCCACATATTTGCTATCAAGATTAACAGTTAATTAAGATGTTTGAACAATTTAACAAAGACTCCTTGGAGGAAGGGTTGACTAAGTTACGGAATATTTTTGGATTCGGTTAAAAATGTAGTCCAATATTAAACCACTGCTTTTTTTTGCAGATTTTCACTTAGTGTGTCTTAGCAAGTACGACAGTTAATTTATTTATAAAAAAAATTGTAAACTAATAACAAGAAGTCAGCTCGGATATTCAAACATGTCTGCATGTGATGATTGAAGTGAGAAAAAGACTGAAGTTTCTATCTGGGACATTGGAAGACGCTAAAACCTTATAGTCTAGACTTGATAGTGTGGAAAGCCTTCTCACAATGCAGTAATAGTGGGACATATATAGATATATTTATAATATCAATATACAGGCTTTAAGTTGAACTATATGTTTGAATAAAATATCTATCTTTGCTAATAAATTCTGAAAACCATTTATTTTAATCTGCTGAGTGATTAGGGCCAGAAATTTGCTGTAGGGACCATCACCAGGGCTGGATTTACCAATAGGCCAGGCAGGCTGAAACCTAGAGCCTCGAAATTTGGTTTCGAAGTTTGTAATTCTTTTGAAAACTTGACAAGTTTAAACCCTACAAAAAGTATATATTTATATCAAGCTTTTCAGAGTAGAAAATTCTGTACCTAACTGGTTTCAACCACATTGTAAACAGGTAATTATTGTAAGGGATTGGTAATTATCCACATTGTAAGGGAAATTATTATTATTCGCATTCTGCTGGAAGTTTCTATGTTAAAGTATGGCTGTAGCGGTTGTTTGATCAAAGAAATTGAAAGTAAAACTGCCTCAAGTAAATTTTTATTCTTTTAATTAAAAATTTACACCTCATGAATGGGGGAAAATGAAAAGTTTTAATGCTTTCATATTTTAAATTTTAAGCAATTAAATGTGGTGTTGTTTAGAGGAAAAATTCTTGAGCTCAAAAATATGAAGGGGCCTCTCATGGTCTAAATCCAGCCCTGAACATCACCAATTTTGGGATAGGTACATGGTGTCAACATATGAACTGAGTTAGGCCATTGAATTTTGAAAGGTGTACCAGAAATGTACATAGTTACATGGAATTCATGAAATATATAACATCCAATTAAAACCAAAATAGGTCTTTCGTTGAACGCCAGTTGTGGTCCCGGTACCGGTATACCAGTATTCTGTTGTCACAAGCAGTTGGAGCGCATATCCCACAGAGCACGGCGCGTTGCAGAATCTCATGGTCTAGTGAGAATGACGTCATCGGAAACACCACGCTCATTAAAATTTCAATGAACGATTATTAAAAATCTTGACCATGTTTATCCTAATAAAAATATCAAAAAAGATGTAACAAATATATTCTATCCTCAAAACTGCTCACGTATACAATGAAAGATATCTAGAAAATTACATAAAATGCAAATTTCTGCTCCGTTGATCACATTCCCCATAAGAGCTAATGTTGAAAAAAAAATTTTTACATCACTTTTCTTTTTGCGCGTAGAATGGGTTTTTAATGAATAACAGCGGTTATTGCAATTCCATCCCTGTTTGAATCATGCATCTAACAGTCTCACACAGGATTCCTGCACTAATAATATTATATCTGATCAAATAAAAAGGCATGTTTCACCTCCAACGATCCGACTTATAAAGAAAAGCAGAATATATTTATACAAGTCTCATGTCACTCACTTTAGGTTTGTTCAGTTAGATACTTTTGTCTAGAAAAGCCTAGCACGCATTCCGCATAAATCCTTAAGGTTAAGCTGGTTTCCTGGTTTAGAAGGGGATTCCGAAACTGCGGTAAGCCTACCCTATACATACCCCGAGCGGTACTTTTCAAGGGGTACCTTAGATTGAGTATATAAGAATTATCTTTTCATAACATAAGTGATCTTTAAATAAAAATAAACGGCACAACTACTGACAACGGAGACTTTATTTTCACAAAATTGAACATTGTGCGGGAACTTTTACATTTGCCGTGGGTCTGTTGCATCGGTAAACGTGCCGGTAAAACTGCGACCGATAGTATCTGAAAATACAGCTGCTTAAACAAACCGCTGTGTTATTGTAGGCTCAGAATATACTACAAAAATCAGTACTACGTCATCGACGGAACATACTAATTTGCGTTTCATTTCAGCGAGGTGACTTTTCAAAATTCGAGTCTCACCAACGAAGTCCATTTAATGTGAGCGATTAACGCAAAAACTATTTAACAAAAAATAGAATAAAAATCACATTAGGAGTTTTCCTGATAACTCACATTCGAGTTAGGCGCGACTCTTATGAGATCAGTGTCTATAGAAGAGACTTCTTTAGAGTGACTGTGTGAAAGGACCTTGCCAACAAAGACATCAGCAGAAAAATGTTGTCTATATCGCGTTTTTGAATTTTCGCACGACAATTTTTCTCACATGATATTTCAATTTTAAAGTTCTATCATTCATTTTATGTTTACATTTATATTATAAATGAACCTTGTTACATGGAATTACACAGCCTGTAAGTTTTACTGCTATGCCCTGTAAAATTCAATGCCAGGATATTTACGGTGATTTTTACTGGATTTTGAATTTAAATTCACAGGCTAGCGTTGTTGAATATTACTGTGAACTGCCTTGATAATCACTACTAAAAACCGTTAAGGATTACTGATGATATTCTGTGAAATCCACAAAAAATCTTGTGTTTTTTTCCCTAATAAAATGACATTAAAATAAAACAACTGCATTACAGACTACAGCAATACGTAAAGCCTGGCGATTGCCGGTAAATATTTTGTGAATAGCGTGCTAATTTCTCGTATACTTTTCTTCCTACATCGACTAAAGAAGTATTTTTAATTCTGCTCTTACGCTCCACAGCTCTGTAAATTAGTTTTTTGTTGGCTGACAAACATGATATCTATATAAGAAACATGAGGAACTATTCCGTGCATTGTATTATTTTCTCGAATATATATTTAGGTTACCATACTATGTGCTATCAAACTGCTCCGTTATGACGTTAGCCGCCGCTCTGAGGGATAGACTTAACGAACATCCAGTCGCTCAGGGCCTAAATGGGCATAGGACCTCTCACCAAGTTTGGTTTAGTTTAGTTGTTAGACGATTACTACGAATCAATGGGAGTTGAAAAATCACAAAATTAATGTACATGATGGTATGAAATGACGCAGATGACTACGAATTGCAGTTGATATTCACCTGTAAAATCTGTAAGGATTACTGTTCATATCCGGTGAACTTCAAAGGTCATTAGAGCGATTTTAATGAAAATCCTTGTGTTTTTTACCCTAAAAAGACATTAAAATTCCACAACTGCATTCTAGTAAAACGTAATGCCAGGCGATCGTTGGTAAAAACTCTGCGTGTACTGTGCTAATTCCTCACATCCCTTTTTCTTATATTGACTAAAAAAGCTTTCAATTCTGATCTTGAGCTCTACAGCTCTGTGAATACACCTATATAAAAATGAGGCACTATTCGATGCATTGTATATTATTCTGGGATATATATTTAAGCCTCTGAATACACGAATATAATTGATCAAAAATATTATAGAATCAAATCTTTTTGAATGTCTGTGATTAAATTGGCAGTTAACTGAATCAGGGGTTATCCATAGTTGCATGTACATCAGGTCCTCGGAATAGTTTGAATTTAAACTATATCAAATCATTTCGGAATCTTTGAGGTTGTTTGACACCGACTTCGGATTTTTTGAATCCCAACCTAATGGCCATAGAAGATTTTTTCGGAATCTTTGAGGTTGTTTGACACCAACTTTGGATTTTTCTGAATCCCAAATAATGGCCATAGAAGAATTTTTTCGGAATCTTTGAGGTTGTTTGACACCAACTTTGGATTTTTGAATCCCAAATAATGGCCATAGAATAATTTTTCGGAATCTTTGAGGTTGTTTGACACCAACTTTGGATTTTTGAATCCCAAATTAATGGCCATAGAATTTTTTCGGAATCTTTGAGGTTGTTTGACACCAACTTCGGATTTTTGAATCCCAAATAATGGCCATAGAATTTTTTCGGAATCTTTGAGGTTGTTTGACACCAACTTTGGATTTTTGAATCCCAAATAATGGCCATAGAATTTTTTCGGAATCTTTGAGGTTGTTTGACACCAACTTCGGATTTTTGAATCCCAAATAATGGCCATAGAATTTTTTCGGAATCTTTGAGGTTGTTTGACACCAACTTTGGATTTTCTGAATCCCAAATAATGGCCATAGAATTTTTTCGGAATCTTTGAGGTTGTTTGACACCAACTTTGGATTTTTGAATCCCAACCTAATGGCCATAGAATTTTTTCGGAATCTTTGAGGTTGTTTGACACCAACTTTGGATTTTGAATCCCAACCTAATGGCCATAGAAGAATTTTTTCGGAATCTTTGAGGTTGTTTGACACCAACTTTGGATTTTTTGAATCCCAACCTAATGGCCATAGAAGAATTTTTTCGGAATCTTTGAGGTTGTTTGACACCAACTTTGGATTTTTTGAATCCCAACCTAATGGCCATAGAAGAATTTTTTCGGAATCTTTGAGGTTGTTTGACACCAACTTTGGACTTTCTGAAATGAAAGAATATACATATTGTAACTAATAATGTGGTAAGGAGTGAATTGATTATTCCGATGGCTTTTTCACTCTAATCAGGTTTTATGAGCACTTGTTTCAGCAATTCGGCACTTTAATATATTAGTATATTATGTTCTAGTATATAACTAGAATAAGTTTTGATGCTCACCATGCCTATGACCAACGCTCGGCGCAACTTTCGTTTGATGAGTCGAGATTAATTTTTGTGTCTGTAGGCTCAATTATGATTCTTGATTTTAACTACAACTCAGGCCGACAACAATGGCAGCTAGTTTTTAAAATAATGTTTTGTTCAATGTATTTGTGTGTTACAGCGGCAGGTGAAGCGAGCAACGCAGATTACAGAGCGGTAATTTTAAGAATTTACGTCAATTCAAGGCAAAAAATTGAATGACGAGTTTGCAAAAAAAGCTTCAACTCAGATCGCAATATATTTCGCATTTGATATCAATTAATAAATACAGGCTAAAATTAGGTTTACAAATGAACGATAGTTTGTTCGCATTACAGCTACTTAAGTATACATAAATTGAAAACACGGGCATTATCCACTTATTCAATTGAGCAATTTTCTTACCTGCCTCCTTATCCGTTCCTTTGGAGTTTTCGATACTCTTAGCACTGCAATATAACGTAAATAATTTAAAATTGTGAAAACAACCAATTAGTTTATTAAGCTAGTCCAAGTTTTACAGAAATGAGAAAATAAAACGATTCGAACACTTTGATTAAATTTAAGAAATATAGCACAAATTTCAAATAGATTTGTGAAAAGCAGCGGTAATTTATCAAATTGCTATATAATTGAAAAGATTTAGGTTCACAAGTTGATATGGACTTCAGTGTTATATGATTATTCAGGCACGTTTTTTTTGTGGGATATTATTCAAATAGATTATCAAAGTCATAATATATTCGTTCATTCATCTAACATGAAATAATGTATTATATCATAACATACTTACCAGACACAAAGCACCACAATATGTATAATCAACAAAAGCTTGAATATCTTCGATGCCATTTTCTCTGCTCGCGATGTTTTCTCCCGATAAACATCGACAAAGGTGCCCCGGTATGATTGTAGCGTGCCAGCCTTATATGCTAAAATTATTTCCGGAACATTTTTAAAATTAAACATAGCCAATGGAACATTATATATAACAAAATTTATGAAAAAACATTGTGATATCATGAAAATCTAACCACCTCCAGATGGATCGTTTCCGTCAATTGCGTTTCTATGAATCGTTACCTAAAAAATATCATAATTTTTTTTTTATGATAATCATTCTGGCGTATTACTCTCTATATAAATTAGTGTGACGTGAGGATTGTTTTCATAAATTTTCTTGGAATTTCGGCAGATATATATTGTGAAAATGCGATCGTTCGCACAATTTAATGCGAATTCAATGCAATTTGCAAATCTCATCGGCAAACTTTCTTCACATTTCATTCGTTGACTGACGTTGGTACATGCATGTAAGAATTAATAATTGAAGGTGAATCGAAACAGAGTGTGTATTTCATTTTGAGCCTGTAATTCGACACTGGCGCTTTCACCAGGGACTACTGCACGATACACATATATAGCACGGTTGGTAAATTTTACTTCAAAGATATAATACTTTACCAGTGAAAATGACGATAAAATTTCTCGTAAAAATTAGTTACACACTTTTCTATAATTTCAAAACGCCAGATGTTTTGATCTATTGAATATAAAATTCAATCTATTTCTATATATATATGTCAGATACTAACATATAATCAGAAATACTTTAGGAATAACGGAAGTCATGAATATACTAATATGCAATCACTCTCGGTAGTTACGTTGAAAAAGTAGGCCTGCATACACTCTAATGAATAGGCTGTATTAGGTTAAAAATGAACACCAATAATAATTCAACAATCAATACAAAAAGTGGTCCAATCGCTTTTAGGAAAATATTGCATTTATGCGCAGATTATTGCTGAATAAAACACATCGCAGCTTGCATCGGTGTAGAAAAATTAACACGAAAATTTCACAATTTCCGAAGCCATCAGCAAGTAATTCCGCTTAGGAGGGGCAAAATTTAATAACGTACAATTCGTGTTTTGCGAATAATTTTGCATTCATGTGTATCCTATTACTTGAAATAGCCTAAAAATACCATAAACATCGTAATTTTGAAAATCCCTCCAGCATGAGTTCCGCTCAAGAAAGGCGAGATTTTACTGGAAATTAATTAAGCGCATGTACAATAAGTAAAATATCGAACATGCGGATCGCTATCAAGTTTATTTTGTGTTTTATTTTGCATTCGCTTTAATCACGTTAATTATTGTCCAAATGCATTAATTTTTCTAAAACGCGTTTGTTTCCGACACACTATCAACTTTATTGTCATTATTGTGAACTAGTGACTCACTTTTTTGCACATGAAACGCAAAGGATTCAACTAATCGAGTCTTTTTATTATTATTTATAAATGTATTATTTGTGTAATTTAGGCAAACGAGCGCATGTATTGCGCGTTATAAACTCTTATTCATAAGTTTTGCTTGTTTTCTCTGGGCATTTTTGTTACGTTTTGATGGTTTTACAAGTGTTGTGTTTTCTGAATGCCGAAATAAATTGTATTGTATTGAAGTATCAAAAAGTTGCAAATCTCATTGGCAAACTTTCCTCACATTTCATTAGGATTAGTTGGCTGACGTTGTTACATGCATGTAAGAATTAATAATTGAAGGTGAACAGTAAAACAGTGTGTATTTCATTTTGAGCCTTTAATTCGACACTGGCGCTTTCAGTGAATGCAGTCCCCACTACTGCACGATACACATATATAGCACGGTTGCTAAATTTCATTTCAAAGATTCAGTACTTTAAACCAGTGAAAATGACGATAAAATTCCTCGTAAAAATTAATGACATACTCTTCCGATAAATTTTCAAACGCCGTATGTTTTAATCTATTGAATATAAAATTCAATATATTTCTATATGTCAGATACCAACAGATAATCAGAAATACTTTAGGAATAACGGAAGTCATGCTATAAACTAATATGCAATCACTCTCGGTAGTTACGTTGAAAAAGTAGACTAGCATACACTCTTATGAATAGACTGTATTAGGTTAACTAAGTCACCAATAATAATTCGACAATCAATGGAAAAAGTGGTCCAATCGCTTCTATCAAAGTATTGCATTTATGTGCAATCCATCACTGAATATACCGCATTGCAGTTTGCATCAGTGTAAAAAAAATACCACGAAATTTCACAACTTTTAAAGCCCATTAGCAAGTAATTCTGCTCAAGAGGGGCGAGAGCAATTTGAGTTATTGCGATCAAATTTTGCATTTATGTGTGATTTATTACTTGAAATAGCCTAAAATACCATAAAATCGTAATTTTGGAAAACTCAACATGTCTTCCGCTCAAGAAAGGTTAGATTTTATTATTGGAAATCAATAAAGCGCATGTACATTACATCATGGAGTTTGAGTTGCAATTTTGTATTCAGGCGTAATCAATCAAAATATAGTAATCAAATGGGATGTTGCGACTTTTTGGGTACACACACGCTCATATATATTGACCACATATGGTGTTTTTGGTATCGGATGATATATAGAAGCAAAACTTTTTCCACAACAACTCAAAATGAATAGTGTTACCTTCTGCGTACTTCAAGTAAATTCCAATATTGAAATAGCCCCTTCGGAATTCGGAAGCGTGTCGAATCCACGGATTTTCTGGAATCTATTTCTACCCATGTCTTACCGAGGCATTTTACTTTTTGTTCCTACTAATTGGAGCATCCGTTATATTATGCGATAGACCCCAGTGTGTTCCAAGGTTGCGAGATTGACGGGCCGCGAAAACTATTGACGATGTTTCGCCTACCGCAGTCGGAGAAAGCTTACTGAGGTAAGCTGAGAGCTTACCGTTCTTATTAGTTTTTTAGGGAAATATATATAAAGCCTCCAGTTATTTTAAAATTGATTCCCGAGAAATACCGTGGTATTTTCGGTATCTTTTCTCATGTTTGATTTTGTAATGTCGCTCAAAATCATGTTCTTCCGTGATAGATATTACATGAAAACACACAAGACTCTGTGGCTTAACGTTGTTGCGGGAAATGAAATACGTTTCGTACCAGTTTTCCTAGGTCACTTTTTTACACTCATTGTATGATGAGTGCTTATATTTGACTAATTTTATTAGTTGTAACGCGAACAGGTCTGGTGCTATCGCCGAAGAACAACCAAGTCCGTCTACGCTGGGACAACGGACACAGCTAAAAACTGGATCGCGCGGCGCTAAGTCAGTTCTGCGGTTCGTCTCTTTTGTCACGTCGCCAATGCTTGAAACTAGAGTAGTGTTTTGACTAAAATAAAGGCACAAAACGTCCCTCCAAATGAGGAGTTACTTGACGCAAGCTTAAGATACAAAAATTAAATAAAAAGCGCGACTCATCTCATCGACTTGGTTCTGTCTGCACAGGACAAAATTGTTTTGGGGCGGCCTGGAATGTGACCGAGGGACGCTGGCGGCCCGCGTGCCAGGATTTGGACCAACCTGGGGTAAATCATTATCTGATAAGGCGAATCTGCTTTAACGGGTTGTGCATTTAGTTGTCCTTTTGCGCGATGTGTTTTTGACTTTGATGGTGGCATTTTTCGACGTAATTAATCTAATTCTAAATCAACAATATTCGGCCAAAACACCGCTGGTTGCTTTAAAAAGACCCTCCATGCCAAAATGTAAGTTTCTCATGTGAAATAGGTTTTTGAAACAGTTTGCAGAAATGAATTTGACTACTTTTGTTACATTTCTATATGTATCTTGAAAATCTTTCTTTCTTCAAACAACGAATGTTTTGAATATTCCAGATGGAGAAGTTTACCAAATGATAACAACTTTGCTGTCTATCCAGAAATATCTGTATGCAATATTATATGACAGTGCTATGCCTATTTCATGCACCAATCTGCTCATGCCTATTACTTCCATTAGCCCTTTTCTTGGAGTACGTATTTTTGTTTGAGTGTCACAAATCTTTGTGCTGCAACGAGTGTTATCTTCACTCCATCCGCTGTTGGTCACAGTGAGAACATAAAAGTGCCATATGCTAATTCGTCACCGTCCGAAAACACATACAGTTAATTAGGAAGGTCCACTTGTATTTTCAAATTTTAGATATCTTGGAATTGTAATGTTAGCTAACATGGATATTTCTTGCGCCTTGTTATACTAGCATTTACTAACATCATCTGATAAAGGTTAGGCTAGCTGACATTTTCTATAAAAGTATCTTTGTCCAATAAAACAGCTCCGAATAGATGATTTTCGCGAAATTTGTCGGCTAAAACTTGATTGTATAACACGACAAGTCAGGACTAGATATACAGGGTGTCTCAAAATATGTATATATACGCTTTTATTTTGATTTGCTTTTCAGGTACTCATCATAAGGCGTTCATTTCTTTAGAAAACATAGTATGTATAGGCTACCTAGTAAAATTTAGATGTTGTTTGCATTTTTTAACAACCCACAGCATGACAAGGAGATTAACCCAAAAAATGAGAAGCAAAATTGCTGATTGGCAAGAAAAGACATGTAAATCAGTAAGGCCAACTTAGCTCCTCTATAACAGAAAATTTGAAATTAATTCAGCTTCGAATGTTTTCCTCAGAGCGCCCGCTCCTTGATCTTCCTGGTCTCTGTGCATCAACTACAGATCCAGCCATGACACATATAAACCAGCGGAAAAACTTTAAGGGGGAAGGGGGATCTATAGAGAGATTCTTCAAGATATTGTTATATATCAGTGTCTGCTACCGTCACCCCTGAATTACCAAATCTCAAGTACCTCTTTCATACAAGTAAAGTAATCCAATAACTTCACCTAGGAAAATCTTACGCAACTCTTCATTTTCTAACGCTGAACAACAACGACAACACTGTTAACATTAGCACACATGATTAAAAGATCGTTCAAGAGCCAGAATAACGCCTCCGTATAGATAACGGCTTAAAAATAAATGTCTGGAGTAGTTTGTGAACGTAAAGAATGTATTGTTTGAATTAAAATTGCATAATCTAATAAGTCTAATTTTTAAATTTTAATGTCTTCAGAAGGTTCTTCATGGATCGGCCCTCCTGCAAATCCAAACCATGAATATTGAATATTTCCATGGCTATATCTTTTGGTTTCAATGATTTAGAAAAGCTAC